TGTTTAAAACAAAACTTTAGATCATAATTCTATTTGTTTGTAAGCTTTGGCTTGTTAGGACTCTACTATAACCATTCCATCCGTCATGTAGCTATGAACCTCACTTGAGGAAGAGGTTTTCACTAGAGAATGGTACTCTACTCAGTGTTGCAAAAAGAACCACTATGTTGTGGAAGCAAGATGCTTGAACACTATCTATTTTGAAGAAAGTAAAAATAACGTTCTGCATTATTAGTTTTATGAAACTCACTTGATGCAGCTTTAAAAAAAAAAAAAAAAAAAGCATGAGCCTGGTCTGGTAGTAAACACTTGCAATACCAGAACTCAGTTGGCTGTCAGGTTCCAGGCCAGCCTGGGCCACAAAACTGTCTCAACAAAGCAAGCATTTGGAAGTAAAGGTGAGATTCATTTGGTAGAACGCCAGCATCAAGTGAAGAAGCTAAGCAAGAGCATGAAATCCTGAGTTCAAGCCCCAGTACTGGCCCCCAAATAAGGAAATTAAAAAACAAGCATGATTGATGGGAAAACCAAAAGAAATCCACTTGTTTACTTATGAAAATACTTTCACAAAAGAGTCAATAGGAATATTGTATTATATTAAAACTGTTTTTTTGGGGGGGAGGGGCGTTGGTGGTGGTGGGGCTTGGGCGCTGTCCCTGCACTCTTCATCTCAAGGTTAGTGCTCTACCATTTGAGCCACAGCACCACTTCAGGTTTTCAAGTGGTTAATTGGAAGTAAGTCTCATGGGCATTCCTACCGGGGCTGACTTTTGAACCACAGTCCTCATATCTCAGCCTCCTGAGTAGCTAGGATTACAGGCATGAGCCACCACTGCCCAGCTTGTTTCTCTATTTTTGTTTCCAATTTGGTTCTATGACATGACCTGCTACTGCAGAAAGCCTTGCTAATATATACCTAATTCACTATCTGGCCTGGCTACTCACCTTTATTTGGAAGTATGTGACCAAAACATTTACTTGGCTAGAGATGTGGCTCAAATGGTAGTGTCTGCCTAGCAAGCACAAGAGCCTGAGTTCAATCCCTGGTAGCACAGAAACATTTTATTTATTTACTTATTTATTTTTATTATCTTAAAGTAGTTGAAAAAAGGGTTTCATATGAACATGCTAGTTTGTGTACAATGAAGCTTGGTCAGTGTCACCACATTTTTGTTTCATTTATTTCAATATTTTATTGAAAAGGATTTCCTTTTCTGGGTATAGTTTCCCAGAATCTAAGCACTTTGCTTATTCAGTTAACCTGAACTGCCTTCTGGATCTAGAATCTCAGTAAAAATTAATTTGTAGTCTTGGGCTACCAAAAATTCTTAATCTTGAGCTGGGAACAGCTCACCCCTGTAATCCTATGTACTCAGGTGACTGAGATCTGAGGACCAAGGTTTAAAGCCAAGCAGGGAAGTCCATAACACTCAAGTCTCCATTTAACCGCCAGAAGTGGAGGTGCAGCTCAAGTGGTACAAGGTTAGCCTTTAGGGGACAGTGCCCAGACCCTGATTAAAGCCCCAATTCAAATGGGAATATATTGTGGCATATGAATGGTCAAAGTGTGATAAGCTAAAGAAGTGAATGCTTTCAAATACAGTGGAATGAAATTATAGAAAGATAAAAAAATAGCTGGGTACCAGGTGCTCATGCCTGTAATTATAATTACTCAAGAGGCTGAGATCTGAGGATCGCAGTTAGAGAAGCCAGCCCAGGCAAAAAAGTACACCAGACTCTTATCTCCAATTAACCACCAGAAAACCAGAAGTGGTACTGTGGCTCAAAGCAGTAGAGTGCTAGCCTTGAGCAAAAAAGGTAAAAATTGTTTTTGGTGACCTGAAGAAAGTGTACTTTCCAATTCGAAATTATATTCAGGACAGAAACTTAACTGTTTTCAAGAGCCAAAATGGCATTACACTGATTCAAAAGAAAAATACAGGTGACAAATCTGCATTAAAATCCAACATGTCCAAAGTTAAACACTAGTTTAAAATTTTTCTCTCAAAAAAAAAAAAAAAGAATCTGAGCCAGTTGGTATGCAGAGGCAGGCAGGATTAACCACAAACTGATTTTATGATATATAAAAAAGAAGCTACAATGAAATGACTTTAATCAATTAAGTCAACAAATGTGAATTTTTTACCTTAATCTGTCATCTTAGATACAAAAGGTTGGGAGCTGGAGTAAGCTCAGTGGTAGAGCTGATGCTTAGCATAAGCAATGGCCTGCATCTAAACAAAACTCCAGAAAACTAATTTGTAGAACAAACTGATGACTAATACCATGAAATTTATGGCCAAGCAACTTCAAAGTTTTCACAGCTTAAAAAACTTGAAGGGCCAGGGTGTGGCTCAAGGGGTAGAGAATCTGTCTAGAAGTACAGGGCCTAGTTCAAACCCTAGTACTACAAATAAAACATCAAAAAAAAAAATCCACCAAAACTTGAGAGTAAGGGAACCAAACTAGGGAACACGGAGAAAGTAAATTATTTCACAGGACATTAAAATTGGTTTTCTTGAGTTGGAGATGTGGCTCAAAGAGTAGAGTGCCAACTTAGTGTGAGGCCCCTAATTCAAATCCCAGGACCAACAAATAAATGAACTAGGGTTTTCTAGGGATTAGGGATGTAGCTCAGTGATAAAGTGCTTATCTTGCATGTGTGAGGCCTTAGGTTCGATCTCTAGCACCTAGGAAAAACCAAATATTGCTCTTCTGTTCTCAGCTTAGAGATACATGAAGTCATGTATGTATTTAATTCAAGGTAAATTCTTAAATTAGTACATGACTTTCAGGTTGACCTGACATTAAAATTATACTAGAATACAATTTCTCCTTTATGTTATCCATTAACAAACAGATAAAAATGAAGGGGAAAGGGTTCCTTTATGTATTTCAGGAAACCAAAAAGTACAAAGCTAGGTAGGCATCAGTGGCCCAAAACTGTAATTCTAGCTACCCAGAGGGCTGAACATAAAGGTTTAAAGTCTGCCTTCGCAGACAAATTCAAGAGTCTTACATCTCCAAATAAACAGCAAATAGCTGAAATTGAAAGCTTGGTTCAAGTGGTCGAGTGCTGGCTGTGAGCAGAAAAAGCTGAACTAAAGAGACCCTGAACTTAAGTCTAAGCAGCCGTTAAAATTTAAAAATAAAATTAAAAAACCTACAGGGCTGAGAAAGTGTCTCAGTGGTAGAGTGCTTGCCTAGCATGCACAAAGCCCTGGGTTTGATTCCTCAGCACCACATAAGCAGAAAAAACTGAAAGTGGTGCTGTGGCTCAAGTGGTAGAACGCTAGCCTTGGGCTGAAGAGTTGGGCAGAGCCCTGGCCCAGAGTTCAGGCCCAACTGACAGACAAAAACTATAAAGATTGTAAATCTGGGTTTAGTATTGGAGTGAAATATTTAATGTCTAATCTTAAGGGCTCAACTTCTCTTTAGGTAATTCTACTAACCTGATATAATAATGGATTTAATCAATGTCTAAAAACAATCTCAGGAAGTGGCGCTATAGCTCAAGTGGTAGAGCCCTCGCCTTGAGCTGAAGAGCTGAGGGACAGCACCCAAGCCCAGAGTTCAAGCCCCGCAACCAACCAAAAAAAAAACAAAAAATAAATAAAAACAATCTCATTCACTAGAAAACAAGGGGCTGTTGGCTCTCTCCTATAATCCTAGCTACTGAGGAGGCTGAAATCTGAGGATCACAGTTCAAAGCCAGCCTAGGCAAGATAGTTCATGAGACTTATCTCAAATAATCCACCAGGAAACCGGAAGTGGTGTTGTGGCTCAAGTGGTAAGAGTCCTTGCCTTGAACTGAAGAGCACAGAGACAGCTCCCAGGCTGAGTTCAAGCCCCACAACCGACCAAAAAAAGAAAAAAGAAAAGAAAACAAGGTAGTATTGGGTGCATGGAAGCAAGTTCCTAGGGCCTGAAACTGAGAGGAGTCTGCACAACCCTAGGCTTACTCAGATGCACGTTTTTAAAGTTTCCTTTCTTCTGTCCTTGTAGCCATCTATACAATCTAAACATCAACCTATTCTTTTTAACATTCTCATTACTTTGGCACCATACCAATTTCTAACATTTGCTATTGCTATTAAAGTGTTTTACTGGGCTGGGAATGTGGCTTTAGTGATAAGAGTGCTTGCCTTGCATGCATGAAGCCCTGGGTTCAATTCCTCAGTACCACATCCACAGAAAAGCTGAAAGCGGCCCTGTGGTAGTGCTAGCCTTGAGCAAAACAAGTTCAGGGACAGTGCCCAGGCCCTGAGTTCAAACCCCAGGACTGACCATGATAAAAAAATTGGGAGAGCCAGGTGTGACTGCCTCATCCTACCTACTCAGGAGGCTGAGATCTGAGAACTACAGTTTGAAACCAGCCCAAGCAATTAAATCCATGAAATGCTTACCTCTTAAGTGTGGCTTAGGTAGTACAGTAGTAAGCCTTGAGCCCAACAAAAGCTTCAGAAGGCCCTGAGTGTGAAAAAGATACAGCAGTGGAGCTCACTGGACACTGATGAAAGTGAACTATACAATTCATGTGTAGAGATGGGATGGAAGGACTAGGAGAGAGTAAGGGAACAGGATACTGTTTGAAAGGAAATGTACTCACTCCCTGACTCATGTAATTGTAATCCCTCTGTACATTACCTCTATAACAAAGTAAATTAATAAAATTTTTTCAGAAAAATGTTAAGTTGGAAAAAAAAAGGCCCTGAGTTCCTGCAGATAAACTGTTGATGGTAAAACACTGCCCTATTCATGTAAAATTTCCTAATACTACAGATGTGCAGCAGAGGGCCAGGGTCTTGATTAAGGTCACATAGCTAATCAGCACAAGATCTAGACTTTCTAATTTCTAGGCTGGTGCTCTACTATACCAAAAATAGTTCCAGGCTAATTTCTTTTTAATTTTCAGTTTAAAAAACTTAAGAACAAAAAACCCCTTAGGTACAATCTAAAGAGTTTTGTCTAATTAATACAAACAATAAAAAGCACAGATATGACTGGCTCAGTATTTATATATTGCGAATAAGAGAACACATACAAATCAATAGTATCATTTAAGTACCAGACCTTAAGAGCTTGATTAAAGTCAACCAGATTTCAGCTTGGCAATGCTGGACACATTATAGCTTCATTTAATTTGTATAAAATTTCCTCTATTGGAGTAGTAGGAATTACTTGAATTAAACACTTCATTTTTTTCTTGAGGCAAGGTCTTGCTATGGAGCTGGGCCTGACTTGAAACTGATTATCCTACTGCCTATACTGGAGTTATAGATGTGAACCACACTTGGCTTAAGCCTTTCAATCTTTAACAATAATTCTTACATTGTTTCTCCGAGTATCTACACTTTGCTATTAAACTTAGCAAAAAAGAAACTAAGATGGCAAATCCACACAGAGCAAGATGTCTACAGGTGTTCTCTAAGGAACGAGCTAAATTCACTGCATATAATAAACTTTATTCCTTAGTATCAACAGCATCTTCACAAATAAGACAGTTACTAACTATATAGGGGAAAAAAATTCTAACACATAACCTAGATAGTACAAAAATGAAATATTAAACAAGGCATTTATTTGTCAAAAAAAATTGAACAAAAAGCGGTGGTAGTATGTTCTGTGGAGAAGAAATATTGAGGATATTTACATATAATCTAAACAGTAAGTGAGCTGGCTTTTTGCCTATTCTCTGTTCTATCATTTGGTGTGACTACAGACTGAAGCAACAACTTCCTGCCAATGAACTAAATCCCTAGCCACAGAATATAGTTCTTATATTTAATAATCTTTTATACTAAAAGAGATTTATGTCTTAAAAAGACATGATGGAAAAAATTTAAGTATTGTTTAACCACTTTTGTTTGGCCAGCTCTGGACCGGGCCTAAGCCTTGTTCCTGAGCTTTTGTGTTCAAGGCTAGTGCCTTACTACTTGAGCAAAGGCTCCACTTCTGGCTTTTGTGATGATTAATTAGGGATATGAATGTCTGACTTTTCAGCCCAGTTGGCGTGAAACTGCAATCCTCTAATCTTAGTCTCCTTCGTAGCTAGGATTACAGGCACCTTAGCCACTTTTAATAAGGTACGAAGTATAATGTTTTGGCTTTCAAAAAGAAGTTACTCTAGTTTATAGTTTCTGAAGAAAAATAGGGCTATATCAAGCTAGTCTTATTAAGAAAGGAAATTGGACTTAAGTCTATAGACTTCATTATGATGGTTTTTGTTCTAAACACTAAACCCAGCTCCAGTAGTTCTTTTCCAATGCCTAAACAAAGATACTATTATACTTTTCAAATGCTTTTGTCTATATAATTAAAAGCTGATTAACTTCCTTGAGTTTTGAGAAGACCCACTGATTGTAGTATATTTTTTGATTGTTGTATATTTATTCAAATATTTTCATAGATAATTCATGTACTATTGAGTGCATTGTAAGGTTCTTATGACATTCCAACTAGATGGAGGAAGACTAATTCAAAGAAGTCTAGCTCTTAAGATCTAGATGAAGCTCATAGAATATTTTAAAATACATTTAAACAAGTGTAATCCCAAGAAAGGAAGCTTTAGAATCAATGTAAGTACAATACTTTGAGTTGTCCAAAACATACAATGCACAGGAACTCTTTAGTTATGTAGTTCACTTGTTGATTATCTGGCTACAGGTTCAGTTACTAATGTAAAACTTGTACCTAATAACTTCCAAAATTGCTTTTAAATAAAGACCTTAAGTTGTAGCAATAAACAAAACACAAGATACAATTAAAACAATACTGCAGTTTATCAAAAAAACACATAAGAAATTTCAACTCTTAATCCTTTGAGTTATAAAAATCAATGATTTGGCTAACTTATAAACAAATTTTTCATGTAATTATTTGCATAACTCTAGTAATGCTAGAAGAAGCAGCTATAAGATCAAAATATTTTAAAAAACACTAAAAACATAAAAATACTTAGCCCCATTATTTATCTGTAGGACATGTTCATTTATGCCTACATTTCAGTATTTATATGATTGTTCTATTTTAAAAGTCACATCCAAAGGATAAACAAAACGACCTATGAATTGTCATTATTTGTTTATTTCTTAGTTTGTGAAAACGTCCTTAACTTGTCAATATAGCAAACAAATTTCAGCTCTGATTGCTATGCAAAAGAACAGAAGATAATTTGCTTTGCAATTAACTTTATAGTTCAATTGCATACAGGCAACATGCTAAGTGAAAAAATTACTAACTGAACTACAGGTATTAAATACTGAAAAAATTAACAGTTTATTATAATTTATTTTATTTAACAATCTAGGAAGTTCGCAGCCATCAGCAGTTCCAGTGCAATTTCAGGTGCAATTGGGAATTCAGGAATCTCGGTGGAGCTGTTAGTGTAGCGAACCTTGTAGGTAAAATACATGCATACTTTTGATAGCACATGTGAAGGGATCTCTCTAAAATTGACCTCATTGGTTTCATTCTCAGCAAACTGACCTGCAAAACAAAATGATTATGTATGTTATGGCCTGAATAATGCCTCTCTTCCCTCTCCCAATTTGGCTGTCTTAACCCATAGAACCTCAGAATGTGACTATATACAGAGATACTGTCTTTTTTGTTGTTGTTGGTCTTGGGGCTTGAACTGTGGGCCTGGGTACTGTCCCTCAGCTCTTCAGCTCAAGGTGAGCACTCTACCACTTGAGCCACAGCACCACTTCCAGTATTCTAGTGGTTTATTGGAGATGAGTGTCCTGCCTGGACTGACTTTGAACTGCGATCCTCAGTTCTCAGCCTCCTGAGTAGCTAGGACTACAGGCTGAGATAAGGTCTTTTAAGAGGTACTTAGAAGTTAAAACAGGAGGTCTCAGCAATCCAAAATAATTGGTATCTTCATAAGAGATTAGATGAAGAGTGGCACAAAGAAAAGACCTTGGGAAGACACAGGGAAAAGATAACCACCATTTACAAGGCAAAAATAGATCTCAGAAATCACCTCTGCCAATCCTAACCTTCAGATTCCACAACCAGGATCATAAGACAAGAAGTTTTGTTACTAAAGACATCTGGTCTGGGGCTGGAATGTAGCTCAGTGGCAAAGCGCTTGCCTAGCAAGTGCAACGTCTTGGGTTTGATCCCCAGTACCAAAAAAGAAAAGACACACACACACACACACACAAAAGACATCTGGTCTGTAGTTTATTTTGTTACAGGAGTCCCAATAAAATACATGTTAAAAGAATAACAAAGTGGCACTGTGACAATGTGGTAGAGCACTAGACTTAAGCAAAAAGGCTTAGAGATAGCACGTAGGCCCTGAGTTTAAGCCCCATGGCTGACCAAAAATTTAAAAAAATTGTCTGGGAATGTGGCTTAGTGGTAGAGTGCTTATGTAGCATGCATGAAGCTCTGGGTTAGATTCCTCAATACTACATCAACAGAAAAAGTGGGAAGTGGTGCTGTGGCTCAAGTGGTAAAGTGCTAGCCTTGAGCACAGAGAGGCTTAGGGACAAAGCCCAGGCCCTGAATTCAAGCCCTAGGACCAGGAGAGAGAGAGAGAAGAAGAGAGAGGGAGAGGGAGAGAGAGAGAGAGAGAGAGAGAGAGGGAGAGAGGAAAAGAAAGAAAAAAGAAAAATTTTAAAATGATCCTTGATTTCTGAGTAACATTTCAAGACAGTATTGAGTACCTAGTGCAGTCACTTAAGCCTAGAATCTCAGCTACTAAAGGACAAAGATAGAGGATTGTGATTCAAAGTCAGTTCAGGCAAAAAGTTCACAGAACTCCATCTCAACCAATGGCTGGGCAGAGGAGTGTGCCTGCTATCTTTGGTACCAGGAAGCACAATAGCTGGTGTAGTGGCATGTACCTGTAATCTCCAGTGACATGAAGAAGCACAGTAGCACAACCTAGTGAGGCTCTACCTCAAAAATAACCAAAAAAGAAACCCTAAATAAAACAAAAGCATGCTGGGCACAGGTGGCTCACATCTGTAATCCAAGCTACTCAGGAAGCTAAGATCTGAGGATCATGGTTCAAACCCAGCCTGGGCAAGAAAGCCAGTGAAGACTCTTATCTCCAATTACACAGGCATGCAGCGCCAGAAGTGGAGTTGCAGCTCACAGGGCTAGTATGCCAGCTTGGAGAACAAAAGCTCAGAGACAGAGCCCAGGCCCAGAGTTCAAGTCCCGTAACAGGCACTAAAACAAAAACAGACCAAAAAACCCAACCCTACAAAGATGACTGAATAAAAGCAAGTAAAACACTCAAAATTTTCATGTTTAAATGGGAAAGATCCATAGAAGTAGAACGTAAAAGCTTCAGATCACAATAAAAACAGAAGCAGGAGCATGACACTGATCATATGGATATGTTTAAGGATGTTGACATTAATATACAATCATCTGCTCATTTTTTCATAGAGTGGAGATCAGTTACTACTATATCTTTTGTGTGTTTTTGTGCCAGTCCTGAATCTTGATCAAGGGCCTAAGCATTGATTCTGAGCATTTTTGCTCAAGGCTAACCCTCTATCAATTGAACCAAAGCTCTACTTCTGGCTTTTTGGTGATAAGTCTCATGAACTTTCCTGCCCAGACTGGCTTTGGACTGTGATTCTAAGATCTCAAGTTCCTGAGTAGCTAGGATTGACTAAAAAGATCAAACATGGGCCAGAAATGTGGCTTAGTGGTAGAAGACTTGCCTAGCATGCATGAAGCCCTGGATTTGATTCCTCAGTACACCACATAAACAGAAAAGGCTGGAAGTGGCACTGTGGCTCAAGTTTGTAGAGTGCTAGCCTTGAGCAAAAAAAGCAGCTAAGGGGCAGTGCCCAGGCCCTGAGTTCAAGCCCCAGGACTGGCAAAAAAAAGACCACACATGGCCAAGTGGCTCACCAATCCTAGACTTAAGTGGCTGAGATCTGAGGATCATTGTTCAAAGCCAGTCTGGGAAGGAAAGTCTTTTTTTTTTTCTTTTTTTTTTCCATCAGACTCTTATCTCCAATTACCCACCAAAAAGTCAGAAGTGAAGCTGTGGTTCAAGTAGTAGAGTGCTAGCTTTAAGCAAAAAAGCTAGGAACAGCATCTAGGTAAATTTCAAGCCTCAGAACTGGCACAACATACAACGATCAGATATGAAAGGTATATTTATGTGAACTGTCCAGAGCAGGCAAATCAGAAAGTCTATCATTGTTGCTAAATAAGTCACAGAGAATAGGTAGTGAGAATGTAATGAGTGTAGGAGTTTCCTTTTGAAAAAAAGGTGTTTTGGGACTAAAGGTGATACCACTTGAACCACATCGCCACTTCCAGTTTTCTGAGTGGTTTACTGGAAATAAGAATCTCCCAAAAAAAAAAAAGAATCTCCCAGACTTTTCTGCCTGGGCTGGCCTTGAACCGTGATCCTCAGATCTCAGCCTCCTGAGTAGCTAGGATTACAGGCGTTGAGCTGCGGTGTCTGGCTCCCAGCTTGTTTTTGAAATTGGGTCTTGATAAAAATTTTTTGGCTTGGTCTGGCCAGAAACAACAATTTTATTTTACTCCCCCAGTAGCTGCATATCCAACACCTGAACTCAAGAATCCCCTAGCCTTGGCTTTATAAGTAGCTGGGATTATTATCACCTGCTTGCTTTCTCTTTAAATGCTTTCGCTTGATTCAACTCATAACAAACATGAAAAGATAATGTGGAAGAAAACTACTTACCCGGGCCACTCAACATGGCTTTTATTGTTCCTGATGTTAGTGCATGCTCTCTTTTTACAATAAATTCGTGACCATCAGAAGATATTAACTTGACATACATGGCATCAGGGCCTTCACAGCCACCATAGGTTTTCTCCTCTCCATCTGAAAAAAAGTAGTGGTATGATTGTGGAGACTGATCTGAGAATCACGGATTCGAAGGCTACGTTGGGCAAGAAAGTAGATGAGACTCTTATGTCCAATTAGCCAGGAAAAAGCCAGAAGCGGAGCTGTCGTCCAAATAACAGAGCACAAAACCTCAAGGACAGCACCCAAGCTCTAAGTTCAAGCCTCAGGACTGGTACAAGCCTCAGGCTGGGTGTTGGTGGTTCATTCTTGTAATTCTAGCTATATTGAAGGCTAAGATCCAAGGATCAAGGTTTGAAGCCAGTCCGGGACTAAGGGGACAAATCAGAGAGTCACCTCCAATTAAGAGCAAAAGGCCACAAGTAGAGGTATGGCTCAAATGACATAACACCAGTTTTTAGCAGGCAAAACTAAATATGTGAGGCCTGAGTTCAAGACCCACTACTCGCACCAAAACAAGACAACAAAAAATAAAAAAATAAAAACCCAGGCTTGGCTACAGATGTAGCTCAGTGGTAAAATATGTTCCCAGTATATGTGAGTTCCAGAGTTTGATCCCCAGAATCACATAGCAACAAAATCAAAGTAGAGGTAAAAGAGAGAACACAAATAGTTACTCTGCGCTAGCTTTACACACAACTGACTACTCAACACGTCTTTCACAATTTTTTTTTCATATATTTCTTGAATGTAATTATTCCAGTGAACAAACTTGTAGATTTTTAGCAGTTTTACCAACTCTTTTTTTGTGTTTGCTGGTACTGGGGGTTGAACTCAGGGCCCGCACGTGCACTGTTCTCTTAGCTTTTCCACTCAAGGATGGCACTCTACCACTTGAACCACAACTCTACTTTTAGAATCTTAAGTTTGTCAACTTTGGCTTTTAACTGAAATCCTCAGATCTCAGCTTTCTGAATAGCTAGAATTATAGATGTGAGCCACCCCACATCTGGCTTGCCACTCTTGAAAAAATGAAGATTTAAGTTCTTATCAAGTACTGCAATAAACACAATTTTTTTCAAAATCCTATTACTTGTTTGTTGGGAAGTCTTAATTTCTTAAGATACAAGCTATTACATTTGGCACAAAATTGTTACTGATCTGCCTTTTAGGAATATACAGTAAATATAAACTTGATTTACATAAACAGTCATTTCTGTTTAACCATTTTCTTCCATTTAATGACTTTGAAAGCCTATGTTTAAGAATAAACAGCTTCTACTAGTTGAAAACACAAAATTACCTTTGTATAACTTACCCATTATGTTCTTATACAATTTTACTTTGGTTCCACAGGAACTTTAGTAGCTTCCTAGAAATGTAACAAGACCAGGTTAAGAATAATGTTGAATTTGACATGTTTTTCAACCAGTTGCTTATGTCATTTGGTATTAATAGCTGAAGGACTCTCCCTCCTTTTTGGTTGTTATTATAAAAGTGATGCAGAGAGGGGTTACAGTTACATAAGTTAGGTAAAGAGTACATCTCCTTCCTTTATCAAGAGTTGCTTGGGCAGAGCTTCTGAATTATAGAAATATTACTTAACATAACATATATACAAAATAGGCTTTAAAGAGAAATGAAAAGGGGCTGGGAAGGTGGCTCGGTGGTAGAGTGCTTGCCTTGCATGCATGAGGCCTTGGATTCGATTCCTTAGCATCACATAAGCAGAAAAGGCTAGAAGTGGCAGGATGGCTCAAATGGTAGAGCACTAGCCTTGAGCAGAAGAACACAGGGACAGCGTCTAACCCCAGAGTTCAGGCCCCATGACCGACAAAAAAAAAAAACAAAGAAAAATGAAAAACTGACACCATGTGACAGTGGTTCATGCCTATAATCCTAGCTACTGAGAATGAGATCTGAGGATCCTGGTTAGGAGCCAGCTCAGGCAGAAAAGTCCATATGACTCTTATCCATGTGTCTCTTATCTCCAATGTAACCACCAATAAAAACCGTAGAAGTGGAGCTGTGGCTCAAGTGGCAGAATGCTAGATTTGAACAGTGCCCAGGCCCTGGTATCAACATACAAAAACAAAAATGGATATTGTGATTCATTCCTGTAATCCTAGCAACTGGAAGAAAGAGGCAGAGGACTGTGAGTTGAGGCCAGCTTGTTTTACATAGGAGTTCAAAATCAGAGTGAGATATAGAGCTAGTCCCTATCTCAGAATACCAAAGGCTGGGGGATGTTAGCTCAGTAGTTAGGAGTGCTTACATATGTGAGGCTGTAGCGCCCAATTTCCTTCAGCACTTTTTTTTTAATGGTCAAAGAAAATGGTCATACAGTGTTAAGAACAGAATGTAAACACAAGTGCAGCCCACTAAAATGCATACAATATAACAATTACCAAGAAAAAATATCATGGCTCTAAGATATTCTAAGACTTCTGTTTGTTTTAGGGGGAAGGTGGGCATAGGGCCTGTTAAGAAGTCTGAGAAAACTTGAAGTAGTCTTATCAATAAAGAATTTGTCTGGCTTTTGTCCTTAGTTTCTGTTAGGTGGTATCTAAATTCTTAAGAATTTCCCAAGTGGTAAGAATGTCTTGGTTAATCATCATATTGGGACCAGATACTTTTTTTCTTTTTATGGTGCTGGTCCTAGGGTTTGGAACTCAGGACCTGGACGCTGTCCCTGAACTTTTTTGCTTAAGGCTAGTGTTCTACCTCTTGAGTCATGGCTTTACTTCCAGCTTTTTGCTTTTCTACATTGGTTGGCTTCAAACTATGATCCTCAGATCTCTGCTTTCTGAGCAGCTAGGATTACATATGTGAGCCACCAGCTCCTGGTTGGGCTTGATCATTTGTATTAACCAATTGACTAGTGGCACAAGCTCGTGCACATTTTATATTAATATTCGGTGTGCACTGCTACATGTCAATGTGCTATGGCTGCAGTTGTAGAGTACCAGCCTTGCAAAACAAACAAAAAAGTGACTTCTAGTAATGTGAGTGTATAGTAAATATCATTTTTTCATCTTGTCTATATGTAGGCCACAAAAGTCCTGAATTTAATGACAAAATGATAAAGTTTGTGATTGAGAAAAATCTTTAAAATTTTACAAAATGAAATAATTCAAGCCAGGTGTCATTGGCTCATGCTAATATCTGATCTCTAAGTTGGTCAAGGCCAACCTGAGCAGAAAAGTTTGCTAGACTCTCTCTCCAAAATAACCAGCAAAGGCCAGGAGCTGGTGGCTCCTCGTTCAAAGCCAGCCCAGGAAGATAACAGCAAAGACTTTTATCTCTAGCCATAAAAACCTGGAAGTGGCAGTTTGGCTCAAGTTGCTGAACAGTGGTAGAGTGCTATCCCTCACATAAAGCAAAAGCAAGAGGCCTTGAGTTCATGCTTCAGTACCAGAACCAAAAAAAGTAAAACTAAAAAAATAAAGTTACAAGTGTGGTTTAAGTGATAGGGATCAACCTAGAAAGAGTGAAGCTCCAAATTCAAACACCAGTTTGAAGAATAACAAATGATTCATAAAAGGAAAGGTTGGGAGCTTTTTTCGCCAGTAGTTTGTATTTTAACACGACAGCATTTCTTTAAGGAACCTTAATAACAATAAAGTGTAGGTTTAATTTAAAAACTGGGGGTGGGGGTGGGGGGAAGATCTTATTTATACCATTTTTGTCACAATATTCTCTAACAAATTCTTGACCAATATTTTAATTCTAATCTTAACAAAAGGATAAAGTAAATAATGAGTTTGGAAATAATCTAACTCCCTCAGCTTACTGAGAAACAAAGTATCATTGAGAGGCTGAGGCTGAGTGATTTGTTCCAGGGAAGAAACAGGAGTAGAAACAACTTTAATCTATAGTAACCCTAAGAAAGAATGGAGGGGGCTGGGAAGGTGGCTCAGTGGTAGAGGGCTTGCCTTGCATGCCTGAGGCCCTGGGTTCGATTCCTCAGCACCCCATAAGCAAAAAGAAAAAAGCCGGAAGTGGTGCTGTGGCTCAAGTGTTAGAGCGCTAGCCTTGAGCTGAAGAGCTGAGAGAGAGTGCCCAGGCCCAGAGTTCAGGCCCCACAACTGGGCCAAAAAAAAAAAAAAAGAAAGAATGGAGAGAGTTGTTTCTAAAGTGAGAAATTATTTCTAACTTGTGAACTAGAATAAAAGGATAGCAATGGCAAAGTAAAAGACAACCAACAATTTATTAGGCTAATACTTAATAAAGCACTACATGCCTTAAGACAGTAGTGGTGAAGTGCTTGCATGTTCAAGGACTTGGGTTCAATCTCCAGCTCCCCCACCCAAAGAGGAATAATCATTTTTATCTTAGAGATCTGAAAACATGGAAAAGGCTTTTGCTTGCTCAAGCTTTCTATAACTTAGTGATGGTTTAGTCAAGGTTTAAGCCTGGGTGGATCTGACTTCACAGCTGAAGAGCTGAGGGAGAGCGCGCAGGCCCAGAGTTCAGGCCCCACGACCTAAACATAAACAAAAAATTTTTTGGCTCCAATGAATTTACTTTGTACTTTTAGAAGCAGCTAATATAAATCCTTAGATAGATCTCTAAACTTAAAAAACAGCATGCTATTTTATATCAGACAATTACTACTTTCTTTTGTTGTATATAATTATGATCTTAATTCTAAGCAAAGAAAAATGCTAAAGTCTTGAAGCATAAAAATGTCAAGTACCAACTGTTCTAAGCTCCACAGGAAAAAAAAATGTATAGGATATTTGTTTAACTAGCTTGCAGTAGCTTGGCAACCATGCAAAGTCACACCATTAAAACCGTTTGGGTAGCAACAGTTTCTCCACACACTTAATATAGTAAATCAATGCCACCTTGTATACAATAGAAATGAAAAGGAGGAGGTTTTCTAACACCACTAACGGAAACAGAGCAAATCATCATCAAGAGTTAAAATCCAAGAGACTCTTATCTCTAATAAACTACTCAAAAGAGTAGGAAGTGGGGCTCAAATGATAGAACACTAGCCTAGAAAAAAAGAAGCTCAGGGGCAGAGGCCCTGGGAAGGTGGCCCTATTGTGGTAGAGTTCTTGCCTAGCAGGCATGAAGCCCTAGGTTTGATTCCTCAGCACCATATAAACAGAAAAAGCCAGAAGTGGTGCTGTGGCTCAAATGGTTGAGCACTAGCCTTGGGCTGAAGTGCTGAGGACAGTGCCCAGAGTTCAGGCCAACCACCAACCAAAAAATAAAGTTTCAAACACTTAAATGTTACTCTTTTATCATTATCTTCTTAGTTTTTACATTGAAGTCTAAGTTGTTTCTCCTACTCCCTCTTAGAGAAAGTTCAGTTTGTGGTCTGATATGGTCTTTGATCCACTTTGAGTTCATATTAGTATATGGTAACAATCAGGAATCCACTTTTAGTCTCTGCATATAGATGTCCAGTTTTCCCAACATGAAGAGACTGTCTTTTTTCCATCATATGTCTTTGGCTCCCTTATCAAATATCAGAGAACTTTAAGTATATGAATTTATTTCTGGGTATTCTATTCCATTGATCTTCTAATCTATTCCATTTATCTTCCATTTTATGTACCAATACCAAGCTGTTTTTGTTATCCTAGCTGAGTAGTACAGTTTGAGGTCTGGGATTGTGATACCACCAGCATTCGAGGTCTTTTGTTCTTCTGTATGAATTTTTGGTTTTCTCTATTTCAATAAGAAATGTCATCGGGCATTTGATGGGATTTGTGGATCCCAGGACCTGTACTGAAATCAGCTGTGAATCTAGTTACTATTGAATATTCAGACCTTAATCCAGAGGGGGACCTGAGGCAGGAAAATCCTGAGTTGTACACCAGTCTGAGGCTGTCTCAAAATGCAACAAAGCAAATAATAATAAAACATTTAAAGAGTCCACCTTCTGATTTGCAATGTTATTTTTACCATATACTACATTACTATGTGTATTTCTAGACTATATTCTTTTCTATCTATTTATAATCCACCAATATCCCACTGTTTTTATTGTTTTGGTTTTTGCCAGTCCAGGACATGGATGCAGTCCTTAAGCTCCTTTTGCTCAGGGCTGGCACTCCAAAGTACTACTTCTGATTAATTGGAGATAAGAGTCACACAGAAAGCCGGCTGGTGGCTCACGCCTGTAATCCTAGCTACTCAGGAGGCTGAGATCTGAGGATGCCGGTTCAAAGCCGGTTCAAAGCCAGCCCCGGCAGGAGAGACTGTGAGACTCCTATCTCCAATAAACCACCAGAAAACCGGAAGTGGTGCTGTGGCTTAAGTGGTAGAGAGCTCGCCTTGAGCTGAAGAGCTGAGGGACAGCGCCCAGGCCCAGAGTTCAAGCCCCATGACTGACAAAAAAAAAAAAGAGTCACA